CTGTTGGTGAGGAAGTCTAGCAGCCAATAGCAGAGGGGTGTATTGAAGCCCAGCTGTTCCAGTTTGCCCATCAGATGCTTAAAGGGAGATTGTTAAACCATGACAGACATATTTACCAGGATACGAGAAGATGGATTCCACAGGTAGAATAAGCTTTTGGCTGGAAAGGTTGTCAGATTTTATTTCCAAAGCTTTAAAAGCCGAGATAATTTCATCCCAAAGCTGATCTGTTCTCTAAGGAGACATGAACGCCCAGAGATCCCGTCCGTCATCATTAACAGGTTCTACCTGCATAAAGGATGAATCACTTTTCAATTCCATCTTTCATCAACGCGTTTCTCTGCAGACAATATGTCTGCAGAGGAGTTTTACTGAGCGCTCTGGCAGAGCGGCAAAGGGATGAGAAATATTCTGAGCTGGAGTGATAATGTTCCACAGAGCAGAGCAGGAACCACTTGACATTTCTGTCACATCAAAGCAGCGAGCAGCGCTCTGCTCCAGCAGTTATTCAGGACAGCGAACGCTGAGAGGAGTCCAGAGAGGGAGACGCCTGCTGGCTCTGAAAGGCTCATCGTCAGCATCGTAATCCCAGCAAACACATCTTCAGAGATTAAGGAACCAACGATTCATCATTCATTATAAAAATGGCCTCATCTGCATCAGGCAGGTAGAGAGGATGGGGAGATGTTTCCTTCATTCATCTGAGGAATATTGCAGAAATGAGCAATCTCCTGTCCAGGGGTGATGCTGAGAAACTAGTTGAATCAATCTGACTGGATGATCTGGTGAACTGGAAAGTGACCTGAGATGACATGATGTGAATTGGAGCTATAGAAATAAACTGAATAGAATAGAATTAATGCCTGCAGTTTGGATTAGAAACGTGAAAAACACCCCCAGCCACTGTGAACACTAGAAAAAAAATGCAAAGCGGCAACCGGGCCAGAGGCTGCTGTTGAACGGGATTCCTAGTGACGGTGTACGGGGATCTGAGCGGCTCCGACTGCAAAACAATATTTGAAGGCAGGATTGTAACCTTGATTAACCGATTGGACAGATTATCTTTTCAAGTAGACTTTCTCACTTCAAAACATTTTAAAACTACTTTTTACCCACTGGTCCCAAATATAGCTGCCATGGTTCCAGGCAAAGAAAGGATAGGGTAGCTCCGCCCAGCACGCATCAGACCCACTTTTTCTCCACC